ACACTCAAAACCCTAGGAGACCTTAGAGAGGATTAAAGGAAGAGAAAAACACAAGATCAAAGGGGATTTCACCTTCAAGAAGATCAAAACATAGTCCTTTCAAGAACATCAAGGTATGGGGTTTTCTTTCATTCTTGTCCATTGATGTTAGGGCTAATATATATGTATTTTTTGACTCCAAATCTTATATATTTGCTATAAAATCATCTTTTCTTGGTCTTCTTGCAGTTATTATCATGTTTTACACAAGTTAAGGTTGAATATCCATGAAATATCTTGTTCTTGCTTTAAAACCCTAGTTTTTAGAGAGTAATAGATTTTCTTCTTAAATTCTGTTTTTATTATTGATTTCGAAACTATAGTGCTTTGAGTTGAGTTCTAAAATGATATTGATGAGGATCTCTTGCATTTTATTCAATTGTTCTATTGAAACACTACATGTGAAATTAGGAATTTATGGAATTGTTGTTATTTAAGGAAATTGTTGGTATTGTATCTCTTCTGTGGTTGTTGGATAAACATGGGCTACTATTGACCGGATATCTTGGAGTGTGTAGACGCTTCTTACTCAGTGTGGGTTAGAACTTTTCCTACCACTCGTAATGGGGTTAGTGCCTTGCGAGGACTAAACTATTATCGCTTACGAGTTATCGTAAAAAAAGGGGTTAGTATACTACTCTTTGGTTGGATACGTCACTGCTATGGTGTTGGCATATACCCTTCTTAAAGGTTGGATATCCTTGCAAGGATTTGTGTGGATTGTATTTGGGCCATGATATCNATGGTGTTGGCATATACCCTTCTTAAAGGTTGGATATCCTTGCAAGGATTTGTGTGGATTGTATTTGGGCCATGATATCTTTGATGGTATCCATGCGAGGTCTTACTTCATACCAGAGATACGAATACAGTGGTGGGTTATCGTTCATTGTACCAGAAATAGTTTCTACAAGAATTTTGGAAAGTATGGGATTCCGCAAGAACTTGGGAGAAACAGCTTATGGTANTAGTTTCTACAAGAATTTTGGAAAGTATGGGATTCCGCAAGAACTTGGGAGAAACAGTTTATGGTAGAATGGATTATTAGTTGTATATTGGTTTTACTTATGCATTAAATTACTGTTGTTGCTTAAACTTGAAATCTGTTTAAATGTCCATGTTTTATTGCAAAATTCATATATGCTATTTGTGAAAGGTGACTGACCGTTTTTATATGTTTCTAAACCTTGTTCGAGTTTGGGAGGAATGTTGCTACAGAGCTTAGTGCTCACCCCCTACAAACTATATTTTTCAGATTATGTACTGGATGAGGAGTTGAGAGTTGATGAACTGGCACACTGGGAGATTCCCGTAGATGGGCAGGTTGTTCCTGAGGGGGACGCTTAGAACAACATCACATTTTATTCTAGACTAGGAAATTCATTTTGGAAATATTGTGAAGTCTAGACGCTTTTGTAATTCCGCTGCAAGTTTAAATGTTATTCTTTTGGGAATGTAATGGTCATGGTTGGCCTATTATTTTGGGATAATATTGTAAATATTATATTTGATGAATAAAATTTTTTCAATGATAAATTTATTTAGTTGCTCTCATACTGTGAATGATTTTTAGTTTGTAATATCGTGCAAGTTGGGTTTTGGGGCGTTATAGGTGGTGGTGGTGGCGACAGCGATGGTGATGGTGGTGATGGTGGCGGTGGCGGTGGCAGCAGTAGTGATAGAGGTAGTGGTGAGACGGTTTCAAACACTAATTTTTTAAAAATAATATTTATGAGAAATAATTTTTAAAAGTACTTTTAAAAAGTCATTCAAAACACACCCTTAGGGGTTTATTTTTCCTATTAAATTTAGGGTATTAATATTAGCCGTTAGATTAACTTTAAAATAAAATTTATAGTGATCTCAACCTCGAATAGCAAAAGTCATTTTGTTTATTTTTTGAGATTTGAATTATAAGCTACTTTATTATATAGATACAAGCCTTCGACATCAGTCTTGAAGGCATCTACCAGGTTCTAAAAGGTTATAGACATTCTTGAAGAAGTTCTTCTCTCTCCATTGGTGCTCTCTACACAAACTTTATCTTCTATCTTTCACAAACTCTTCATTTGATTATCCCTCAAACTGAAAGTCCAACTTCGACTTTCGAGTGTGAGTCCAAAAGGTAAGAAGGCTTCCTAAGTGTTAGTTTTTTTTTTAAAAAGGAACATCAATTAAATTAGGACATGCTAGGGGTCATGTTTTGATCCCAATAGTTGAAAATTCTAATTATGCTTTTATCATCCTGTTGTAATTAGAATTAAATTTGTTGGTGGAATCAAGATTTGTTGGTTTATATAGTTAAGTTTGTGTTTAGATATTTGAAACTAAAATATAGTTTGTGGAATTTCTAAAGTATTGACTGCTGGAATTTAACATGTTCATGTTGAAGTTGTTGTTGGATGGGTTAGAAATTGGTTTGGAAATGTTTATAAGAGAATAGAAAGTTGATGGTCAATCCCGGTTTTGACAGAAAACTTGGGTAGCCAGTAGAAAAAAGGCAATAACTCTCTCTAGGACATTCGGAATTGTGCAACATTTTTTTTGTTCAAACATTGACTCATAGATCTTTCTAACTATATATGGTATAAAGCCTAATTTTATTTCTTTGAAAACTAGCATCGGTTTAAAATTGAGTAAAAATCTATGACTGATGGAAAATAGTTAGCTTAATACCCTTTTAAACAAGTGAGCATAATTCTTCACATGAAACTCTGATTTTAGTCATGACCTTAGAATGCTTAGGAAGTCTACTTTATAATTAATTTGGGCTCTTGTTATTTTAGGTAGGATATAAGCTTATTTAATTAAACTCGCGCGATGGGTTCTCACATTATTTTAATCCGTTTAAAGTGTTCAAGGAAACGTTTAAGTAAAGTGAATGAATGAAAATGAGGCTTAAATGACCCGAACTTATTTGAATCGAACGTGGTATGAAATAAATTGCATTAGTTTGGATCAAAGAAACAAAATATTGAAAAATTCGGATATGAGATGTATTGGACATCTTTGACACCCATTAGTAAAACAAGAGTAACTTTTTGTAGAAAACTCGGATTGACGCGCCGTCAATTTTGTTGAAAATTAGACTCGGGGAACTTTCCAAAGTTATAAGGTAGAACATCATATTATTCCTATGTAAATTTAATTTTTAGTTTAAAGATAACAAAAAATAGTCTATTTATCCAATTTAATAACCTATTGGAAAATAATCGAAACATGGTCTATGGGAGGTGGTTTTGAGCTTATGACCTGTCATTAGAAACCTTAAGAAGTTTACTTTCTAACTCATTTGGTTTCATGTTGAGTTATTCATAAATAAGTCATGGGATTGGAGTTTATCTTGATCTAAATCGAGTTTAATCATAATGAACAAAATTTAAATTAAATATGCTCATACGCATACATTTGCATCGGTTGAGTTATTTGAAATTGAAACTCATTGTATATGATTATATGATATGTATTAGATCCAAAAGATACTATACCAGTTCTACTTAAGAATCAAGCATAAAGCAGATGGATGTAGTTTTCGGTGGTGATAGGTGAAATGTACTATTTCATAATAATTGAAAATTAAAGTATATTATATATATTTTATTTTCTTGATGTGAAGTGAAATCCCAATGATTCGCTTTAATTGTGCAAATGATGGATCAAATATGTTTTCTGAAAAGCTTATAGTTGAAGTATTATTCACTATGCCATAGTTGTTGGATAGTTTTACATGACTTACATGTTGTATTTGACACTGTAAAGTTGTCATGAGACACCTTGACAATATTTAAATGTTATTATTGACACGTGGACTAATTATTATATTGATATTTGATAGTGATTTGAGATTTCAAAGTAAATTAAAAACACTTTGATTTTGTTATTCTCTTCAGATGTTGGACATATATTAGTGAAATAATATTTGATCCATATTTTTTATATTTTCATTTATTATAATGTGCAATACACTCAATAAAATATTTATTTTCAGGAAATTAAAGTTTAGAGTTGAGTCCACTACAACACTGGCAAGTTAGGGGGGGGAGATTAAGAAAACTGATTGCGTATATATTGTACATGAGTATTTGTTCTCTTGTTAATGTAAAGGATGTATTCCCTAATGTTTTGTTTTGGCTTAAATTACATAGTTGTATACTCTGTTATATAATTTATCTATTATATGGAGTTATTAGGTGACAATATTGGTTCTAAATGCATTCTTGAATTATAAACGCAAGTATTGTCACGTGTCAAATTATACTTTTATCTTTGGGATACCAAATAGGTATCTTGGAATGGGGTGTGACAATTATTTTCCATTCTTAAAGACACGTCTTCTAAAATCCTATTTTAATTGAATATATTTTCGTGTAAGCAAGTTTGAGTACCAGTTTAGATGAGTTATATATGAGAGTTAATGAGCTTTGTTACACTCAGATGAATTTCAAAAATTAGCCGATTATTTCTCCATTTTTTTTTTGGGAGGGGAAGGGGGAAGGGGGAAGGGAGCTTGAACTCTTGATCTCAATAAGGTAAAATTGTCACAAGATAAAAAATATCATTAGACCAAAGATTAAAATATTTTTGTTTTATTTTATAATATATCACCATTTGAATTTGTCTCGTTCCTTAAAGAAACGACCTCGAATTTTTCGAATTACTACACAATACATTTTTCTAAGCTTGGGAAATTATTCCACATTACACACATCTTTGAGAGAGACAAGCAAGGAACAAAACAAAAGAGAAGCATATAAGATAAAAAATTTGGAGATTTTCCTATTTATTGACATGGCAATTGTTAATTGGATTGGATGCCCGTAAAACATAAGAGTCTGCAAGTAGTTTGTAAAGAAATTAATCTCAAATCTCAAACTAGTGAAGTGATGGTCTGGTACCAACATAAATTAATGGAGACAAATTGAAATAAAAACAAAACAAAAGGACTACTTTAGCAAACTTCAATTCCAAGCGGAAAAGGGAGATTTCTAAATTCTTTATGGTGCAAAATGTCACCAACCAAAAAGAAAAGAAAAGAAAAAAAAAATCCAGTTTCATATCCCTTCATGTCTAGGTTTTTTTTTTCTTTCATACAAGAGCTTCAATCCTGGGCTCGAAACAAAATGCAGACATGTAATCATTGGATTTACCATTCATACAAGAACTGGGTAATTCAATCCACTCATTCGCCACCAAATCACCAAAAACATAGCAACAAACCTCGCCAGAGTTGATGCATACTAAGATTTGGTTGCCGCCGGCCCCCGTGCAGTTTATATCCACCTTCTTGCCATGGAACTGGTGCGACATTGCCGGCGGCATTGCCGCAATTTGATTCCAAGTCTGAACACACTCATTGAACTTCCACACTCTCAAGCTCGAGCTTTCTAAAAAATCTGATAGCACAACCACAAACATCTCTCCTCCACACTCAACCAGATCAATGGAGTACTCGTAAAAAACCGGCAACAGCCTCGGGTATTCGAAGAAGAAATTCTGGGTGAGATTGCAGGCCACAATTGTTCCCTCGGAGCTAAAAAAATAGATCACCTCCTCGTTGCCTTTTTCTAGAGTGATTACGGATGAGTACTGCTTAGATGGGCTTCTATGGATGTCAGTTACTAGTACATCGCCTCCCTTGCTGATGAAATAAGCCGTGTGGTCACTGTTTGTGTCGTGTTCGGCAGAGGAGGAGTCAGTTTTTCTGTGTAGAATTCTCTCTCCGCCCCAGCAATTCGTGCTGGAATTGTATTCTTTGAATGAGAGATTTGGATGTTCACCCATGACTAAAACAAGCTTGTAGGAGGGTTGGGAATGGTATCTTTTGGAGGAAGTCATTGCAATTGCTTGTAGAGATTGTCGGGGTCGATCCAGTTTTGGCAGTTCCCTACTGGATCCGGTCACAGGATTGCAAACAACGAAATCGCCGGATTCACTTCGGAAACAGATCAAGCCACCAGATGCAGCAACAGGAATGAAATTCCGGCAGGAATTTTGGTGGAGGAGAGGTGGATGGTGGAGGTTCTTCCAGTTCCATTCGGCGGAGTCGAAGACAGTCCATTGGTGGTGGAGGTGGGAATCAACCATGAAAAACCAGGGTTCTCGGCGGGGAATTTGGGAGCAGGCGAGGCGGAAGGTGGCGGAGGCTGCTGTGGATTTCCATCTCTTACTGACTGAACCAAGGCGGAAGAAGGTAGATGTGGGCAGCCATGAAAGAACCCTCTCGAGGAGGTCTTGATTGAGCTCGTCCAATGGCAATCCCAAACCTTCTTCATTTTCTGGTGATTTTCTCTTCCGAATCTTCATTGAATCTCTGCAATCACCTTGCTCCATCCACTGGGAAAATTCGAATGTGAATGGCTGCATCAATAACACCAAATTAAATTGGTAAATTGCATTTTCATCATAACTATCCAATAATAAATGAACAAAACCCGGGATTACAGAGTTGAAAATTTGACAATTGTACATGTAAAAGCCAAATTTCTCTGCTTTCCAACCCCCAAAATATAAGCGGTCAAGAACGAACAAATATCAACACAAAATAAAGAATTCAAACCCAAACAAATTGAAGATCGAACAAGATTTAGGGGCAAAATTACTAATCTCGATTGAGAAATAAATATAAATAAATGGAGAATTGAGGAGATGATAGGGCCTTACACTTTTTAAGCTCCGGTACGATACTCAGGGAGAAGGCGAGAAGCAATAAACTACTATTTTTTTTGTAAGCTCGCGAGGTTTTTCCAAGACGGCGGGGTGCGTGGGTTGGAATAGGATCTGCTGGAAGGAGATAAAAGAATGGTGAGGGGACAGGACAGAGGAGGGGAAGAGGGGATGAAGCTTCCTCAGAACTATGAAGCTCTTTTTCATTTTTGCGTTGACAAGCTGAGCGTGTAGTAAAGGCCAAAAAGGTAGTCGTGTAGCCTGATGGGACGGCAACAGAAACGATTCCAACGAGGAAAAAGGGTAGGGGGCCGCTCGCTGGAATGCAGAAACAAAGCAACAAACAGAAAATGATAAATACATCGATGCCCCCCTTCATTTTCTAGAAATATATTGACACCCCTCTCAGTTTTTGTCATGTGAAAGAAATGAGGGTAAGGTTATTTTCAACCCCACAAATTTTTGTTTTCACCTTATTAAACTCTAAATCATAAACTTATTAAGTACACCTTTTTTATACATATTTTATTAATAACTAAGCCTACCCCATTTTATATCCACCTCACTAATAACTAAAATTCCAAATTTTTTATTTTATTTTGTCGTACGAATTTTTTTTATATCAATATAAACGATTTTCATTTAATGTATACATATATATAAATTTAACTTATTATTTTTTAAGAGAAATTCACATTAAATTATTAGAATACAAAAAATATTTGAATGAAACTTATCCATTTTTTTTGTTTACATTCAAACAAGTTTTTTATATATTTTTTATTCAGAATCTAGTTGTAAGTATCTTGACACATCAAGATATAACTAAAAAACCCTCTTTCACGATTTTTATATTTCAGTTAAACATTGCACAAGGTTAGTTTAATTATTAATAGGGGTGGGGTATAGAATTGAGTGAAATTAGTCATTAGTGAGATGAATTTAGTAATTTTATAATTGAAAGTTTAATGGGGTTAGAAAGGATATTTGTGGGGTGAGAAATGATATTTGTGGGGTGAGAATAGCCCACCAAAAAAAATAAGAAGATTGGGTATTTTATAGTTTTATCCTCATCAAATTATATGTTTTGATTTTCTTTACTCTAAACGTGAAACAAAATTTTAAAAATAAAACGCAAATTTGTTTATTTTTTTGATCAACTAGTTAGAGTATCAAAAAAAGAGTGATTTTTATTTATTTTCTTGGCAGATGTTTGATCTATTTCCTTAGTTAAGATCATCTCTAGTCTTGACTCAAATTTTTATTTAACTTTGAGGTAATATTTGAATAAAAAGTTTGATTTTGTACAAAACACTCAAATGGAGAAATTTAAAGTTAAAATAAACAAACTTAAATTTAAATGAGGACAAATTCGAATTTAAAGTATGATAGAATATGATCGTTATATTTTTAAAAAAGAATAAAATCTGACCATTCAAGATTTAAATAAAAGTTTGAGTATTCTTTCATTTGATGTGAGTTTGAGTAAATGATTGAAGTTTGTTTTTAGCATGTTTTTTACTCCAATTTAAATTTAAGTAATGTTTTTTGAGTAAGGATTAGAGATACTCTAACAATTTTAATGGTGGACATAATTCTTCTAGGATTTTTAATTTTTTTTTTTTAATTTTTACTGCATTTGGTTTTTCTGAATTCAATTAATGAACGGGGATGGTAATTTTTTATTTCTTGGTTTTTAGGTATATTATTTTTTCTTTTTTTATACATTTATTTTAATTTTTTTAAATGACTCAACAATATATGTTGGTTGAACTAAGGATGAAATTCCCGTTCAAAAACAAAAAAACTAATATTCCGTTGGATACAAATGATGGAAAGTATGAGAGATACATTTTCTGTCCTTCAATGATGGAAAGTAAAAATGATACACTTTCCTTCCTTTGTGTTTGGTTGGATGGATGGAAAATAAAAATAACTATTTTTTATTTTTTATTTTTTTTGTACTGGCTAAAATTAGGGGTGACTATCGAGTTGTGTTGTGTTAGATTTGTGTTGAATTATAAAATTATGAGTATTTTATATTTCTTGTTTGCATGTCAGGTCATTTTTAAGTTCGTATCATAAAATTCGTGTCAAGTTCGAGTCGTGTTATTGTGTTCAATCGAAATTTTTTATCCCTAGTTAAGATGAAAAAAATATTTTTTTAATTTAAAATTTAAAATTTTATTTTTTTAATTTTTTTAATCTTTATTTTTTATTTTTAAACTATATATATACACACATATTTTATTGTTATATTGTTATATGAAATTAATATATACATAATATATAGACAAATAAGATACATCTCAATACAAATAATTAATTTTTCATCCACTTTTTTTCCAGTATTGGAAGAATTGATTTTAGTGAGTTGGAAGGAAAGTTAATTCATCCACTTTTTCATCCTTCCTATTTTTCTTCCTTACTAAATATAAAATTTTATTTATCCCTTCAAATTTTTATCTTTTCATTTTTTTATCGTACCAAACAGTGCATAAGGATAAAATTGTGGTACGACAAGAATCCTTGATGCTGGGTCGCTTGTATAGTTATAGACAACAACAATGACTGGTATCTAAAATAAATAATATAAGAGATTGTAGTGATATTTCAAGCAACTAAGGGGATCTTCATGTATTTAAGCCTAACTAATATGGAAATATACACTAGAATTTTTCTGTATTGTTGCAATATAAATTTAAGGGTTAAATCTCATAAATGTCCTATGAACTATAGTCTTTATTTTAAAATACCCCTAAAATTTTAATTATTTTAATTCATCCTATGATCTATGTTATTTATTTTAATCGACCTCTTATTTTAGTCAAATTCCCAATTAATTTTAATAGAATTCGTTTCATTTAATGATTAGTCTTAACAAAAATTGTCTCACTTATCAATTAATCTTAACGAAAGGGGTCTATTGAAATAAATTGAATAATTTAAGAGGTAAATTAGAACAATTAAAAGTTCAAAAATAAGTAATAGTTAGTGGGGTATGTATGAGATTTCTAAAATTTATATAATAATGGGTTAATTGCACTTAAGGTCTCCAAAGTATAGGGTTTATATCATTTTGGTCCATAAAAAATTGAATATGTTTTTATATAGTCCTTCAAGCAAACAATATCCAGATTGCTAACGATTTTTTTATCATAAATTTGTTACATGATACTTAAATACGGACAAAAAAAATTGAAAAACTCTTTCAAATTTTTACTTAAATTTTGGTTAAATACCTACATAAATTATACAATTTTGATTATGAGTTATCTAAATTTTGGTTAAAACTAACCATATTACACATTTTTTTGTCAAGAACTGTCCAAATTTTGTTTAAGAACTATCAAAATGATTTTTTGTTCATATTTAGCTATTACGTTACAAGGTTATAATAAAAAATCGTTACCAATCTGAATAATTTCTGCTCAAGAGACTATATAGAATCATATTTAATATTTTAGATACCAAAATAATATAATTGAAACATTAAAAATTAAAATGAGATAAATTCTATATTATAGGGACCTCCAAAATAATTAACCCTATATAATTGTACGTACACAGAGAATGATAAATACATGTCAAAGAGGTTGCTGACTTCTAAAAAGCAAAAGCAACCTCGTGCCAAACCCCTGCCTGCCTCTCTGAGGAATCTATCCCTCCCTGTTGTTAAGGACTTCATATGGTGTTTTTTTCCCCAAAGTCAAATGCCAGAATCCAAGGGTCTCTTTTGCTTTTCTTTTCCTCTTTTTTTTTAAATTTTCTTATGCTTTTAAATTGACCTGCGCAGCTCAAGGTTATTGAAATTCATTAAGTATAAGTAAAAAAGCCGTCAATTACGATACCTTTTCTCGTTCGGTGGGGGAATTTCTGAAAGGGTTGTACAACAAAACTTGTCGCTAGGTCGTTGGACAGTGAGGATATTGGAGATTTGAGCCTCTTCTCGTTAAGTTAGCAAATACATACAAACTATACTTGATGCGGAAAATGCCACATTATTTAGGATGTGTTTTTTGAGATCCATTATATGAAATTGGATCTTATAGTTTGTAGTAGACCACGGGAAACTCGTGTAAGAAAGTACGGTATAATGTAAGTGAGAAATAATAGATTTGGTGAGAGTGAATTCAATCTGAATAGGTTTGAGAGTGATATTGGTGGTCGTTAGATAAATTTATTTGAGACCGTTGGATGAACTTATTGAAATATGTCTTATTTTATATTATAGACAATTTAACAAAAAAATATTTTTAAAAAAATATTAAAAGAAATCTAGATCCCTAAGAGCCCTCGAGAATAATTAATATAAGGATCGACTACATGTTTTGAGATAGTAGGGGTGTCCATAGGTCGGGTTACCCATTGATTTTATTACTCGGTTTGGAAAAAATAGGCCTAAAACCCGATAGGCCCAATAATTAACCCGCTTAAGTCCGAGTCCAATATCCTTAAAAGAAGGGCATGAGTTTGCTCTCAAACCCATTACTCGGCCTAAAGTCCAGCCCAAAAGCCCGCCCGTCAAGTCAAACCCGCCCTCCCTTCATTTGAAAAAAAAAGTTATACTTTTAGACCATTAAATCTAAATTTTTTTAAAAAAATCTCTCAATATCGGAATTTAAAATTTTAAAATTTTAGATACTATAAATAATATTTTATTTTACTTTTCATGTATTAAATATACATGTTTTAAAGGGTAGAGTAATGCAAATTATAGATAAGTGAGTAGGTGTTAACTTAGTTGGAATGTATTCATTCTATTCGATGTAGTTCATCCCCTAATTAAAAATAAAATTATTTATTATTTTATTTTTATCTATACTCTATTTTTGATTTAAAAATATAATTTACACAAATATTAAGTTATAAAAATATTTATTATTTTTAAATGAAGTTGTTTATAAAAAACCCCGCAAGTAAGCCCACCCAATAGGCTCGTGAGTTGGGCTTTGAGTAGCCTACTCCTATCCGAAGCCCGGCCCGACACGTCCAATAATGTACTTGGGTAAGAGTTTAGACTTACACTACCCCAGACCTGACCCGGGTCATTGACACCCCTATGAGATAGTGGCTGCCATAAGGAATTTAAAAATAAAATATTATTTAGACCTAATTAAATATAACCACAGGATTGAAAATAAA